GGGGAATTGATCCAACTCAGTCTCCCCTCCACATTGGTAATAAAGCCTCTTGGTTGAAATAGTGCCTGGCTCGGGTCTCTCTCCCTTTTCTCCATCTAGCCGAAGCTAANGGTTAAGCTTCAGTGAGTTCAGGGGACATTCAGTCCACAGTATCCTCTTCCCCTCACCCCTGCCGAGAGGCAGGGTCTTCCTAGAAGCCCCTCGACCTGTGCCCCTGGAGGGCCTGGGCCCCAGAAGCTGGTGTCAGCTTCAGAGCCAAGTGTGCCTGTGTTTCCTCTGGCCTAGGTGTGGCCTTACTGGGGGAGGGGGAAGGGGAACAGGCCTTTACACCCAAGAGGGCCCTCTGGAGGGCTGGTTGGCCTGTAGGGGCTGGGCCAAAAGGCCACAAACCCAGCACTGAAGGATATCAGAGGATGTCGCCCTGCCCAAGTGAGGGACCACAGATGAGAGGCCTTCAGAGCTGACCCTCTGAAGAGCCCGACGTGTCCTCCAAGGAAGAGTCAGCTTTGCAGCCATGCATGCAGCTAGATGACATCACTGACATGGTGAAGGTCAAGCAGGACCTTTCCTGCCCTGCCTTCTCTTCCCCCTTCACTTCCACCTTGGGGGTCAGAGGTTGGGAGGAGGGAAGAAAGCTCAGGCGAGTGCTGGGGGAGGTGAGAAGTTAATGCAGAATGAAGTCAGAGTCTTGACTATTACATGGACCTGGATATGTTAATTACTGAAAAAAATTTTTTTAATTAAAAGTGAAAAAAGAACTTTTTTACCCAAGGGCTGGGGAGGGGAGATGTAAATTCGTTTTCTTAAAGTTTGAAATCTGCTTACCCAACATACTGGTTATATTCATGAGGCAGCAAGTCCAAAGGTGCCTAACAACAATATTTCTAACAGAAAGATATAGAAAATGACCTTGACCACCGCCAGAAGGAGAATAGATGGAAGGAGACTAGCACAGAGCCTCAAAGGAGTACCACGTGGTGTGAAAACGAGCGAGTACAGCTGCGTGAAGCAGTGTGAGCGATCCACACCTATGGATGAAAATGTGCAATATGACGGCGTTATGGAAAGTTTAGCAAGTGCAAAGCAATACATTGCCAGAGGTCAGTATCTGTGCAGTAAAACAATAAGGAAATGCTTGAGAAAAAGAAAAGCTAGACCTGGGTTAATGGTTACCCCTGGGGGAGGGGCTGGGGATTCTCCTGGGAAGGACTGAGGCCTTCAACAGAGTTGGAATTATTTTATTCCTGTAGCTGGGATATAGGCACAGGGATGTCCTTTATCATTTTGAGAAAAGCTAGACCTGGGTTAATGGTTACCCCTGGGGGAGGGGCTGGGGATTCTCCTGGGAACGACTGAGGCCTTCAACAGAGTTGGAATTATTTTATTCCTGTAGCTGGGATATAGGCACAGGGATGTCCTTTATCATTTTGTATATCTTCTTGGACATCTTAGATATTTTATAATCAATAAAAGATACGCTTCACCCCTCTTCCCTTCTAGCTACTGACGCTGCTTTGATCCAGGACAGCAAAGACCTCCCCGTTCCCAAATCCAGCAGGCCACTTTTCCCACTTCAACTCCCCAAACTCAGCCACGGGGGACACAGCTGGCCACACACTCTTTCTTGGAAACCTCTTCCTGTGGCCTCCAGGACACCCCATCCTCCTCCTTCTCCTCTCTGCCTTGGCTTGACATTGAAATACTGGAGGACTTCAGGGTCTGTCCACTTCTTCATGGGTGGAGTCCCCTCCCTATGTGACCTGAGAGAGCCCCAATCCGACTCTCCAGGCCTGACAGTCCCCCTGTCTTAATCAGCTTGTGCTGCCATTTAGAAACACCACAGACCACGTGTCTTAAACAACAAACATTTATTTCTCATGTTTTGGAGGTTGGAAGTCCAAGATCAGGGTCCAGTTCCTGGGGAGGGCCTGCTTCCTGGTTTGTAGGTGGTCACCGCCTTTTTATGCCTTCATGTGGTGTTTCCTTGGCATGTGCACATGTGGCCACACACGTGTGCATGCGTGCAGACACACACACAATCTTCTCTTATGAGGCCATTAATCCCATCATGAGGGTGGGGCCCTCATGACCTAACCCACTCTAATTACCTCCCAAAGGCCCCACCTCCAAATGCCATCACTGGAGGTGAGGGTGATCTGGCTATGACATCTGTCATCCCTTTGATCGCCAAGGTTGATTCGGCTAACCTGGCTGGCAAGGCGGGTGTCCCCTTCCTCCCTCACTGCTCCATGTGCGTCCCCCCTGAAGCTGCATGCTTGGTCAAAGAGGACGACCCTCCCCAATAGAGAAGAGGACCATTCTTCGGTCAATGGTATACAAGTAGCTGCACTCCCCTGCTAGGACCTCCAAACAAGCCCCCAGATACCATCACATTGAGGCCTCAACATATGAATTTTGGGGAGACACAAACATTGTCTGTGGTGCCCCTAAATACCAGACTTAGATCAAGTTGACCCACAGGAAACTGCTGACATGTGACCAAGGTTGATATATTACAGCAGTGATTTCCTATGGTCCAGCCTAACACAGACCCTTCCTGGACAGATCTAACAGGAATGACATGACCAAAGCAGATGTAGTTATTCTTGTTGCTCATTTTCACTCATGTCTCACATCCAGGGCCAGTTTCACAGGAGTGCACCCAGGCAGTCACACGGTGCCCACTCTTAGAAGGACTCTGTGCTCAGTTTAATGCTCTGCTGCCTTGGTCTTGAAATTCGTAATAATTTTTGAATAAGGGGCATTTACAATTTGCAGAAGGCCTGGAAAATTATGTAGCGGACCCTGCTGATACCCAATCCATGAAAAAATGCTTTCTTTCCTGAATCCCTCACTGTTCCCTGCCTCCACCATCACAACTCAGACCAAGTCAAGATCAACGCATGTACATACTGGCAGTTCTTCCAGCAGCCAGGCCCGTCCCTTCCACCTCACCGGTCCCCTCTTGACTGTCCTCCCTTCTTTCGTTCCTGCCTACCTACAACCTTTTTCCACACAGCAGGATGATGCTTGCAAAATGGAAATCAGATCAGGCTCCTTTGCTGCTCAAAACCCTCCAAAGTCTTCCCAGCTCACTTGAAATAAAATTCAGTACAGTGGGGCTCAGGTCTGTGTACTCTGAACACCACCCCACTTCCATTTTGGCCAAACCAACTGCACCCGAGTTTCTCCACAAATTTCCTGCTGGTGAGGCTCCAGCATTTGAGGGTGATGATGGATTTCATGTGTTTGAGAGCAATGCCTTGCCTACCATGTGAGCAATGAGGAGCTGCGGGGGAGTACTGCAGAGGCAGCAGCCCAGGTGGCGTAGTGGGTGAGCTTTGCTGATGGTGACACAGAGCCCCAGCCAGTACCTGCGTGTTCCCCACCTTGGGCATTGTGTACCACAACCAAAAGGCCACTGAGAATGCAAAGGAGGAGGTGAGGCAAATCCTGGGGCTGCTGGATGCTCACTTGAAGACAAGGACTTTTCTTATCGGCAAACAGGTGACACAGGCCAACACCACAGCTGTCCACCCTGTTGTGGCTCTATAAACAGGTCCTGGAGCCTTCTTTCCAGCAGGCCTTTCCCAATACCAACTGCTGGTTCCTCACCTGCATTAACCAGCCCCAGTTCTGGGCTGTCTTGGGGGAGGTGAAACTGTGTGAGAAGACGGCCCAGTGTGATTGTAAAAAGTCTGCAGAGAGCCAGCCTACAAAGGACACCCCACGGAAAGAGAAAAGCTCATGGGAGAAGCAGAAGCCCCAGGCTGAGCGGAAAAGGAGAAAAAGGCAGCTGCCCCTGCTGCTGAGGAGATGGACAACTGTGAGCAGACGCTGGCCGCTGAGCCAAAGGCAGAGGACCCCTTTGCTCACCTGCCCGGGAGTACCTTTGTGTTGAGTGAATTTAAGCGCAAGTACTCCAACGAAGACACACTCTCGGTGGTGCTGCCATATCTTTGGGAACACTTTGGTAAGGATGGCTGGTCCCTGTGATACTCTTGAGTACCGCTTCCCTGAAGAGCTCACCCAGACCTTTGTGAGTCGCAACTTCATCACTGGAATGTTCCAGCTACTGGACAAGCTGAGGAGTTGCCAGTGCCATCCTCTTTGGAACCAACAATAGCAGCTACATTTCTAGAGTGTGAGTCTTCTGAGGCCAGGAGCTTGCCTTTCCTCTGAGTCCAGATTGGCATGTGAACTACAAGTCACATACATGGTGGAAACTGGATCCTGGCAGCAAGGAGATCTAGACATTAGTTCAAGAGTACTCTTCCTGGGAGAGGGCCTGCCAGCATATGGGCAAAGCCTTCAACTGGGGCAAGACCTTCAAATGAACATCTCTTGCCATCACCTAGCTGCCTGCACCCACCCTTCAGGAAGATGGGGGACATTAAAGGAAACTGAACATTGAAAAAAAAGAAAAAAGAAATTTAAGTAGACAAACAAAAAAAGAGAAATGTGTGGAATGGCTAATGCTAAATGAATTAATAAATAAAAGAAAAAAATCAGAGGAGATAATGAGACAAATTATAAAGTGGTAAGCCTAAATCCAACCATATCAACAACTACACTAAATGGTGATGGTGTTAATACTTCAATTACAAGGCAGAGATCGACCGAGTGGATAAAAAATAAAAACACTGCCTATAAATGACCATTTAAAATATAAACACATAAATAAGTTGAAAATAAATGAATGAAAAAAGATATGTCACACAAACAGTAAGCAGGAAAGGGCTAGTGTGGCTATTTTAACATCGGTAAAACAGACTTCAAAACAAAGATTATTACCAGAGATAGGGAGAGGCATTTCATAATGATATAAGGGGCAATTTATTGGGAAGACATACCCTCAAATGCATATACACTTAATAAACAGAGCCCCAAAATACACAGCAAAAGCTGACAGAATTCAAACCAGAGTAGGAGAGATTAACCTCTCTGCAATTAACAGTAGACAAAAATTCAGAAAAGACATAGAAGATCTGACCAACTCTATGAACCACCTCAATCCATTCTCGCCCCGCGCCGCCCCGCCGGTCGACCCTCGCCCCTTCGCCGGCTTCGTGGCCCGCACCACGTGTCGCACAGAGGGACCCACGCCCGTCGTTCTGGAAGCCGTCCACGCGTCCGGTTCCGAAGCCGTGGCGTCCTCAGTGTCCTGCCAGATAAAGCCCTGTCTCATTAGGCAGGTGAAGATCAACACAGACAGTTTTCCTGTGATCTTGCTCAGGAGGGCGGAAGCCACCATCAATGCCACCGTTCAAGTTGACTGCCCGCATGCCCCGGCCGTGGTCGAGCGCTGGCAGGTCTTTTCCGTGCCCTCTGTAGGTGACGTGCCCGACTGGACTCGGCCTTTGGATGTACCACAACTCAAGTTAGGGAAAAGTCCATGGTTCCTACACATCCCCAGCAACTCACTGACGTTTGGGGTGTATGTATTTAATTTCACAGTGTCCATCAACACATTGGACCCCAAAATGCCTCTGTTAAAAGACTCGGACTCCATCTATGTCTGGATTGTTCGAAGTCCCCTGAAGGCCGTTATTCTTGGGGATGCCAACATAACAGTTAATTTTACAGATAGGCTGGTGCTGGATGGAACGACGTCCTCTGACCCAGATGCAGACAGCCCATTAGAGGGACTCCATTTTTTTTGGTACTGTACCACAAATCCAAGAAACTATGGTAAAGATCAGATAATAGTGATGAGCAAGGAAGTCTGTCACCCAGAGCAGTCTAATCTGAAGTGGCCATGGGCCTCTGGCCCTGTGCTAACAGTTTTGCCAGAAACACTTAAAGGTGACCATGTGTATTTTTTCAGAATGGTGATCCAGAAGAGTTACAGAACAGCATTTTCTGATAAAAGTGTACATGTGCTCAAAGGACCCGCACCTATAGCACATATTTCATGTATTGAAAATTGTGATAGAAATTTAATTATATCCAATAGATTTTCTTTGTTTCTAAATTGCACAAACTGTTCGAGCCATGATTTCTATAAATGGTCAATTTTGTCTTCTTCAGGTGGCGAGATGCTATTTGATTGGATGGGGCAAACAGTAACAGGAAGGAATGGTGCTTATTTGTCTGTGAAAACTTTTGCTTTTAGGCATTTTTTGGAAGCTAAGTTTTGGGTTTCTCTGTATCTAGCAAGTTGGAGTGGAATGACCTTGGTCTTGAAACATTCCGTTATCATTAACCAAGGTCCTAAAGTTGGAGGATGCAAAATTAATCCAGCCAAAGGAACTGCATTTTTTACTAAATTTGTTGTCCAGTGTAGGGATTTTAAGGATAAGGACATTCCTCTTACATATAAAATAATCATTTCTGATTTCTACAGTTTGGGTGAAATCAGTTCGGTAAAAGAGAACACCTTGGGGACTGTCCTCTATTTGGGAACTGAGTCCACAACGCCTCCTTCCTTTCTCCCTGTTGGTGTGTTGGCTAATCATTATGCCATAAAGATATATGCTCAGGTTTATGACTCTCTAGGAACTTTTTCTCAGGTGACTTTGTATGCCACCGTGCAGGCTCCTACTGACAAAAATTCATCAAATACTGTGTTGCGTCACCTACTCAGTCTCACCATGGGACCAAATTCATTACTATCTACATTGCTCCAAAAGCAGGATTTTTTACCTGCAGGTTACTTAATGTATATAGTAGCTTCTGTTTTGAATAACATGAGAACTGAATTAACTCTCCAAGATGACAAAGCCAATCTCCGAGAACACCTTGTCAATCAGTCTTTTGCTCTTCCTGTACACACTTTGGAGGAAATTGGCCAGGTAGTCACGGCTATTACCAAATTAACCCAGAAAGCCTGTGAGTTGACTCGAGTTGCTCAGAAACGTGCCACAGTGAGGCTGTGGCAAGCAAACCAAGCCCTACAAGAGTATCGACAAAAAGATAAATGCTTTCGCTCTGAACAAATAGAAATTGTGAGCACTGGAATATTAACAAGTTTGTCTAATATCCTTAAGCTGACTTCTCATCATGAGGTGGCTGAAGATCATTTCTATGTAGTTGAATCTCTGTCAGACACAATATTGGCTAATAAAGTGCCAGGGAATGAAACCACTGTAATGAGGACCCCCAACTTGAACATATTTGTCAAGAAAGTTGAGAAGCGGGACGTTACTCGCATCTCTGTCAGACACAATATTGGCTAATAAAGTGCCAGGGAATGAAACCACTGTAATGAGGAGCCCCAATTTGAACATATTTGTCAAGAAAGTTGAGAAGCGGGACGTTACTCGCGTCTTCCAAAATGACAGACACTGTTTTCATCCCACACTCAATGTGAGCAGTGTTCCTACTCTGCCTGCAAATGCCCCAATTTCTGCGATGTTCTGTGAGTTTGCAGATGACCCCTTTCCCTGGCTAAATGATATGGGAAGCATGTCTGTAGAGGTGGTTGGATTCAGAATGACGGGAGCCACAGATCAGGGCAGCATGATAGAGATCACACCTGATGTAGCAGAGGTGTACCTCATCAGAAAAAACTTGACCTTTGCAGCTTTTAATCTCACAGTGGGACCTGACAGCAATGTCAATGAGTCTCTGAAGATGACAACAGGAGCATTTAGCTTTGAAGTGGACAGCAGAGTCCTTAGGGAGGTGCTGGTCCACATTGTGACAGAAGTGACCGTGTTGTTCAATGTATTGGTGTACGCAGGCAATCAGGTCACCCCCACCGCTCTGGTGGCCACCTTCCTCGTGCCTCATGACATGCCTCCAGTTGCCAACCAGACTGTCCCATTTGACCCAGCCTGTACAGTTAAGGAGGCCCGTGTGATCTGCCTATCACTGTCCCTGCTGCAGGTCATAGTTGAGCGCAGCAGCTCATCCATGTGCACCATATCGATGCTTCTGCAGGCACCTCACTTTGTCATGAAGCCCAGTGACAAGCTAGTGAGAGTTTCTCTTTTCAGCGTTCAGTGCTTGGACATGTATGGGATCCAGAGTGAGTGGAGAGAAGATAACTGCATTCTTGGCGAGAAGACCACCTGGCGCAAAGTTCACTGTGTCTGCAAGAACACAGTGAGGGCCAGGCGGCAGCTGAGCACCATCAAACTAACCAACGTTCACCTGCATACCCGCTATGTGCTGGCCATGGTGATTGTGGCCCCTAATTTTGTGGATCTACAATTAAAAGTCATCAAGAACCTTTACCAAAACCCCGTGACCCTCTTCACTGTGCTCTTCATTATGCTTGCGTACATAATCCTGGCTTTCTGGGCTTTGCACAGGGACAAAATGGACCAGTTTCTTCGGGATCATGTGGTAGTTCTACCCGATAATGATCCTTATGATAACATATGTTACCTGGTCACTATTTTTACAGGGAGTCGTTGGGGATCTGGGACCAGGGCCAATGTCTTTGTGCAACTTAAAGGAACAGCAAGTGCCAGCAAAGTGCACTGTTTAAGCCATCCACATTTCACCACCCTCTACCGAGGAAGCATCAACACTTTCCTCCTAACGACGAAAAGTGACCTGGGGGACATTCATTCCATTCGTGTATGGCACAATAATGAAGGCAAAGCGCCAAGTTGGTATTTAAGTAGAGTCAAAGTGGAAAATCTGTTCAGCAGACACATTTGGCTGTTCATATGCCGGAAGTGGCTATCTGTTGACACTGCTTTGGACAGAACTTTTCATGTTATCCACCCAGATGATCCTCTGACCAGAAAGGACTTCTTTCTTATAGATTTGAGTTATAAGCTAGGGAAGAACCACCTGTGGTTCTCTATTTTCGCTGGAGTCGTTGCTAAACCATTCAATAGGCTCCAAAGATTGTCCTGCTGTTTAGCGATGTTGCTGAGCTCTCTTCTTTGTAATATTATGTTCTTTAATCTAAATACACAAGAAGAAACTGAGTCAAAAGAATGGCACTTCATCAGATCAATGGTGATAGGAATTGAAAGTGTCATCATTACCATCCCTGTGCAATTATTAATAACTTTTTTGTTTACCTATTCCCAGAAGAAACCACAAGTGAATCTAGATGAGGTATCTCCTCAAAAGCATCCCCTGCTGTCAGAAGGAAGTGGGTACTGGGAAGAACGTTTGGAAAAGTGGCATGCTTATGAAACTGCTGAGGCACAGCCCAGGGAGGCTGCAAAGCCTGAGTCTAGGGGAAAGCCTGGACTTCATCAGGCTTCTGTTAGGGAGACCTTCAAAACAGCACGCCAGCCTGAGAAAGCAGAAGCCAAGGCCCCAAAGACCCACAGACCAAATACAAATTTCAGTAACAAAAATATAAAAGACAATCAGGATGTTGGTTCTAGAGAGCCCTCTTCCCAGCAGCATCCTACACATCTTAAAACAAAGCGCCGGATTGTCCTGCCTTGGTGGTGTGTTTATGTAGCCTGGTTCTTGGTTTTTGCCACTTCTAGCATATCCTCATTCTTTATTCTGTTTTATGGACTGACTTATGGCTACGACAGGTCAACAGAATGGCTCTTGGCATCTGTTTGTTCATTCTGTCAGTCAGTTTTTCTGGTGCAGCCATCTAAAATTATATTCTTGTCAGGCCTCAGAACTAAGAATCCCAAATACTGTAAAAACCTTTCGTGGTCAACCGGGTATCATTACACAGAGATCAAGCTGCAGGGGATACCTCCTGATGACATGCAGAAGCTCCATCACCACATTGTCCGAATCCGAGGCTCGAGGATGTACCAGCCCCTCACAGAAGACGAAATCAGAATATTCAAAAGAAAGAAGAGGGTCAGGAGAAGAGCCTTGCTATTCCTGAGTTATCTGCTAACTCACTTCATCTTTCTAGCCCTTTTGCTGGTCCTCACCATCCGACTAGGCCACACTGACAGCTTTTACCATAACCGGTTTCTTCATGATCAGCTCTCTGTGGATCTTGCTATGGTGACAAAGCTGGAGGACATCTACAGATGGCTGAACAGCGTGCTGTTGCCTTTGATACACAATGAGCTGGAGCCAACAGTGCTCCTTCACAGCTCCTCTAAAATCCTTGGCCTTCCACTGATGAGGCAGGTGAGAGCAAAATCTAGGGAGAAGATGTGTCTGCCTGCCGAAAACGTGCAAAACAGCGTCGCAAGAGAAATTCGTTGTCGTCCTAAATATGGTGCTGACCCAGAAGACACAAGAAACTATTCTGGTTCTTGGAATGAAGTTGATAAGTGGGGTATAGACAAGAATGTGGATGGGTTTACTTATCAGCCTCAAGGAAAGCAATGGGTGCATTATTCCTATGGACTATTACATACCTATGGATCAGGAGGGTATGCCTTCTATTTTTTTCCAGAGCAGCAGCAGTTTAATTCTACACAGAGGCTCAAAGAACTCCAAAGAAGCAATTGGCTTGATGAGAAGACGTGGGCTGTGATTTTGGAACTAACGACTTTTAATCCAGATGTAAATCTGTTCTGTAGCGTTTCAGTCATATTTGAGGTCTCTGAGTTAGGAATTGTCAACACAAGCATATCCGTTCGCTCTTTCTCACTTGCCGATTTCAACAGAAAAACTTCAGCAGAAATCTACCTGTACGTGGGCATTCTCATTTTTTTTGTAGCCTACATCATCGATGAGGGCTATGTCATCACACAAGAAAGAGCCTCCTACGTGAGAAGTGTGTATAATTTGCTCAACTTTGCTTTAAAGTGCATATTTACTGTGTTGATTGTGCTCTTTTTCAGGAAACACTTTTTGGCAACTGGCATGATTCAGTTTTACTTGTCGAACCCTGAAGACTTCATTCCCTTTCATGCAGTTTCTCAAGTAGATCATGTCATGAGGATAATTTTGGGTTTCCTGTTATTTCTGACAATTTTGAAGACACTCAGGTATTCCAGATTCTTCTATGATGTGCGCCTGGCTCAGAGGGCCATCCAGGCTGCCCTTCCTGGCATCTGCCACATGGCATTTGTGGTGTCTGTGTATTTCTTCGTATACATGGCTTTTGGTTACCTGGTATTTGGGCAGCACGAATGGAACTACAGTAACTTGGTTCGTGCCACTCAGACAATCTTCTCCTATTGTGTTTCAGCTTTTCAGAACACTGAATTTTCCCATAACAGGATCCTCGGGGTCCTGTTCCTCTCATCTTTCTTTCTGGTAATGATCTGCATCTTAATCAACTTATTTCAGGCAGTGATTTTGTCATCCTACGAGGAAATGAAGCAGCCTGTGTATGAGGAACCATCAGAAGAAGCGGAGGCAATGACTTACCTGTGTCGCAAGCTGAGAACTGTGTTCAGCTTTCTGACCTGCCAGTCTAGGGCCAGAGACGAGCCTGAGTTCTTCATCGACATGCTCTATGGGCAGCCAGAGAAGAACAGCCGCCGGTATCTGGGGCTGAAGACCAGAAACATCAATGGGAAGAAAATGGTTTACCTCGTTGTTTGATCACTGGTTTGAAGAACCACAAGCAAGAGTTTCCCCAAATGCTGCCTTTGTGGGATTAAGGATGTTTAGTGGCTCAGTCATGCTTTCTACCCATGTCTGTCACAATGCACACCCCCTTCGCAAGTATCCCCACCCTTGGCCTCCGCTCTTGGGGACATGAAAGTAGGAGTGTAGGGCATGGTCTGGAGATAGAAGGAGGGCACACCATGGGATTCCTGGACTGACTCCCTTTGGAAGGAATTACCTGATTTCTGCTATGGGGCAACCCTCGTTTCTTTGGAGCCGGCAGTAGTTTAGAGGAGTTAGAGCCACTGGTTTTGAGAACCAGATTTGGGGGAGGAGGCTAAAGGGGCCCCACCTGGACCTGGCCAGGTGGAACATTCCACACTGCTTTTATGTTCAAGCCAGGCTGGAAACCAGTGGCCTGCTGCTCCAGCCCAGGGGCCCAGGTGCACTGGCCTTGCTGGCAGTCCCCTTTGCAGGCCAGAGCTGTGGAGCCTCCCCCTTCCCCATTCCTGCTGGACCAGGGCTGGAGGGGCCTTGCAGGGAGTTCCAGGACTGGCCCTTGTCCTTGGGAATGCAGGGATGGGAGTCATGGGTCAGAACTCTGTTGCTTCCTGTTCGTTTCTTAAGGCTACTGCAAGTTAAAGGAAAATTTAGTAACATTTTCTAACCAAGAGACATGGCTTTTGTTAAACAGAAAGATGTGTATGGGTTCACATTAAAATATAGTAAATGTGCTATATACTGCATATAGCAATATATACATCCAGAACTAGGGCATTTGGTTATTTATGGCATGGTGGATTACTTAGGAATAAGGAAAATGTGGTTTATCGTTTAAGAGAAACAATGCCTAGTGGCTGTTATATATTTCACTCAGAAGCATGTTCATTTATGTAGATGTCACTTTAAGCTTTATCAGAATTAAATGTGAGATTTCTTCCGTGAGACTTGCAATGATTTCTGCGTGAGGAGCACGTACACTCACAGTTCCTGCCCTCAAAGTCCAGGGCCAGGAAAGGGACAACCAAATCAGGTGGGTGGCTGCTTTGTACCCCTTTCGTGCCCCATCACCTGAGCACTGGAACGGCACACGCTCCTGCAGGCATGCACCAGTGTGTCCGTTATTTCCTCCCAAGGGGATGCCTGAGAACCTGGGCAGCCTGTGTCTCTGCCGGATGAGGAAATGGAGAAGTCCAGTGACTCACCATTAGCGAGTGGCAGGTCAGATTTGGATTTTCTAACTCCCTGGTGGGGAGGTCATGGGAGTGGCCTGTCCCATACTGGCCCACTGGTTCCGACTGGAGCACACATTCATTAAAGAGTACCTCTCTTAACCACATGACTTCTGAACAGATTGAACAAAAGAGTAAACATGGGGGCCAAATGACTAGTTTTTACTGATAGAGGCCAATGGCAGTCTGGTCAAATTTACTTGCCCATTGCACTGTAGAATGAGGGAGTTTAAGCCCCAGCTGCAGGCAACACTGGGTGAGCTTGCCCTTTGAGGTGGCGAAAACCGCTGGCAGGCCAGGCAGAGACTCACGCTGTCTGCGGTTGGGTGCGCCCAAGCACTCTCCCCAAACTTAGCAATCAGCTAAAGTCTCTGCCCCTCCCCAGGAGCCGAGGGAGGCAAGGGGCAGAGGGAGACTTCCCATCCTGGGAAGGAAGCATGGAGTGGGGTCTGGGGGAGGCTTTCCCACCAACAGGGCCAGTGGGAGAGTGAGTTACTGATGAGTCAGGGAGGGTCACAGTCATGAACACAGGGCCCAAGGAGCAGTTCCAGCCAGAAAAGCCTCAGGGAGTCAGTGAGGGCCCTGGTGATGGGAGCATCCAGAAAGGGTGGTCCAGGAACAAGCACTGGAAGTGGTCTGAGTGAGGACCAGGGAAGAAGATGCTCAACTTCTTGGTGCAAATTTGAAATCTCACAGTTGCAGGATTTTATCTACGCATGCTGGGAAAGAGGAGAGTACCAGAGATATTCTTCTAACCTGACAGAGCAATGTCAAGTATCTGTTCAGTTTAGAAACATAGAGATGCCAATTATAACATTATCAGGAAGAGACAGTACCAAGTAAGACAAATCAAAATTCATGTTTCTTTTGAAGGCCATTTTCATGGCAACAATTTCCAAAGGAGTCTTTTAAGACTCCTTTGTTCTCGTTATACTCCAGGGATAGGTCAGGAATATTCTAGAACACTTGGCATCAATCATGATACCTTCCCAACTCTATCACACAGGGAAACAAGATGGATGTTCTTATTTTAGCCCCTTATTAACTCAGAGTAGTTAAAAAATTTTTACATGCAGAGAGAGCTCTCTCTCTCTAACTCCAGAGGAGAGGGGACAGATATGTCCTTCCTCTATCTCAAACTCTTTTGTTAGTTACAAAGACTTGCATTTTTAAGGCCCAATTCTGGAATTTCATTAGCACTAAAAGCAAAACACAAGCCCTTAGGCTGCAATGTTACTGGCAGAAACAGGGAATAGGATGAATAGGACTGTGCTTAGTGACATGGGGGGCATAAGGAATTAATCTTCCCCAATACCTCCCTTTTGCTGCTGTCAGCAATACTTTAACTTTAGATTTTAATCAGCATTCAATTCCTTTCAATTTTCAGATTTCCTTTCTCAGTCTTCACCTAAATGCACGAGGTACAATTATTTATTCAATACTGTGATAACCTTTTTTTTTTTAATACTGGCAGAAACAGGGAATAGGATGAATAGGACTGTGCTTAGTGACATGGGGGGCATAAGGAATTAATCTTCCCCAATACCTCCCTTTTGCTGCTGTCAGCAATACTTTAACTTTAGATTTTAATCAGCATTCAATTCCTTTCAATTTTCAGATTTCCTTTCTCAGTCTTCACCTAAATGCACGAGGTACAATTATTTATTCAATACTGTGATAACCTTTTAAGACCACATTTATACAACATTTATAAGTATAACCGTAACATACAGGCAATTACTTTTCCCACAAGCCTACCCCTAACACCTGTGCAGCCCGGGGCAGGACTACGAATCCCCATATATCTAAATATTTAGATGTTATACAACAAGCTTACAAACTGTTACATAAAATACGTTATATCCACTTACCTTGACAATACACCTTCATGAAGACAAAATAAAAAATTGTGTAAAAATATGGTATTCATACAGCTGAAAATTGGCAAAATATCAAAGATAACTCAACTTAATTTTCATTGTGCACCTGTGGGTGTTCTATTGATGGGCCATATGAATTATATGTAATAAAGACACATGCAATTCATAAATTAATATGCATTTATTCCATAAGTTTTATTTTTCTTGCCTTTGTTTCAGAAAAATCAGTGTTGATATAATAAAGATTTTCACACCATTATGTTCTATTAACAATAGTGTCAAATTAGACAACCTTTCCTGAGTCATTATACTTTGAAGATAGCTTTAAATTCTTTCAATTGGGAGAAACTTCACTCTCCTGAGGGAGTAGCAACTGGAATTATGAATAAGATTGTTAGTTTTAGATTCACAGCTGAAACATGAATATTGAAATCAAGTTTAAACATTGTAAGGATGGTGTGTATGAAAAACCATCATGATTTTTTTGTGTGTGTGTGTGTCTTTTTTTTTTCCATGTCCGGCAACGGATCGCAACCCTCAGTGTTGCCCCTGTACCGGACCGGGGACCGGCAACGGGATTGCAAACCTCGGTGTTGCTCCCACGCCTCGCTCAGCCAGTGAGTGGGAACCGGTCAGTATGTGGGATCCAAACCCTCGGGCGGGAGCGCCACCGCGCTTCCCAAGCGGCGCACTATCCAGTGCGCCACCGGGCCGGCCCCAAGGTGTAGTCTATTGAAGAGAGATTTGAACAGTGAGCAACCTACTGAAATTTTTCTTTCTTTTTATCAGCACTGAAAAATGTAAAAGAAGAAAAACAAATCCTATAAGGATCCAAATATCGTTGTAAATAACGGTGATAAAATAATGACAACCTGTTTATAATGAAAGAAAAATATTTTGCAATATTTTCTGCAATCATGACGGTTTCGGAAAAAGACAAAAAAAAAAATAAAATAGACTACACCTTGATGTGCAGTGGCCAGAAAATAGTCTGTATAGAAATCAGACTCAGGATTTGTTCATGAATCTTCTTCAGATTCTAGTATTTGTTTCCTAGTTCTAATTCCCCTAAATTGTACTTGAATGTCATTTTAGTGCTTATTTCATATGCAGTTTCTTTTGGGAAACTATTTCTTCCCTACAACTTTATGAAACATTTTTAATCCTTTTGGATTTTTAAAGATTTTTCAAATATTAATAACTGTGGACAGCTCAAATTCAAAATTTACTTTCTGCCAAAGACCATGATTTGCTGTTTGAATATTACATATTATTTCACTTAACTCTTCTAATGCACCTCATCTGTAACTTGTCTAAATTAAATCTAATTGCTATAACAGCATTCATGGGATTACTATCATGAATCTGACAATAGTAACAGGTCAAATTTGAAATGCTTTATCAAGATGTTCTATCGTTGGGTAGATCCAGAAATAAAAACAACCCAATACATAATCTTTTTTTTTTTTTTTTTAAAATTCCCAGTAAGGGGATCTTAACCCTTGACTTGGTGTTATCAGCACCACGCTCTCCCAAGTGAGCTAACTGGCCATCCCTATATAGGGATCCAAACCTGTGGCCTTGGTGTTATCAGCACTGCACTCTCCCAAGTGAGCCACGGGCTGGCCCAATACATAATCTTTGAATTGATCCAAAGAATGTCACTGTTGTAAGCACAGCTGAGGCCATGCCTACAAGTCAGGAAATAAAACTGCTTGCTAATTTCGCTAGCCCAGGTCCAGGGCCCCTCTAGCTCAGGCCTAAGAGTGGTTCTGGTTCCCTGTATTACTAAAATGCCTTGTATAATCCTTACTTTCAGTGTCCCAAAGAAGTAAGTCCCAGACCCCAGTTTGATACAACTTGGCAACATTCCTCTTGAGAA